ATCCACTCACCTCAGCCTCCCAAAGGCGCGAGATTACAGGCTGAGCCATCGAGCCCGGCATAACTATCTCTTAAATGTGAAATACAGCTGAGCGCAGTGGCTCATGCCTGTAATTCCAGCACTTTGGGAGGCAGTGAGAGGATTGCCTGAGCCCAGGGCTTCAAGACTAGACTGGACAACTTGGCAAGACTTCCTCTCTACAATAAATAAATAAATAAGTCAGGCATGGTGGCGTACACCTGTAGTTCTAGCTACTTGGAAGGCTGAAGTGGAAGGATCGCCTGACCCCAGTGGACTGAGGCTGTGGTGGCCATGAGTGTGACACTGCACTCCAGCCTGGGTGTCAGAGTAAGACTCCTACTCAAAAAATAAAATAGACAAAACAGTAAAGTATACTCTTGTGATAGAGATTGTCTTTACATATTTGACTTCAGTGAGTCAAAGAAAAAAACTGACAGTAGAGCTAGTTTTTACTGGGCAGGAGTTTGTTTCATCTTCTGTTGAACTTTGATCCAAGCTTTTTACTTTTTTTTTTTTTTTTTTTTTGAGTTGGAGTCTCACTCTGTCGCCCAGACTGGAGTGCAGTGGCTGCTCCCGGCCACCGCAGCCTCGACCTGCTGGACTCCAGCGAGCCTTCCGCCTCAACCTTCCAAGTAGCTGGAACTACAGGCGCGCGCTACCATGCCCGGCTAATTTTTTTTAATTTTATTTATTGTAGAGATGAGGTCTCACCAAGTTGCCCAGGCGGGTCTCGAACCCGCGGGCTCAGGCAATCCACTCACCTCAGCCTCCCAAGGCGCGGGATTACAAGCTGAGCCACCGAGCCCGGCTGCTTTTTACCTTTCATGAATTTATAAAAATACTTATCTTTGTATATTTAAGTCTACTACATGGAAATATGTTAAATTTTTCAATACCAGGACTTTGCCAACTGGTTATTTGTATGGAAAAGCCAAGTAAAAGTGTTTTATCTCTATCCAAAGATAAGGCTGCATTATTAGCATTTATACATACACATGTATAACTCGTTGTATGTTTATTTTCTATTTTAAAGAGAAAAACCTTTGGAAACAGCTTTTACTTAGTAACCTCATGCAAAGATGATTCAACCTGTCTTAAATTGCGGCCACTGACAAGGTCAGGAGAAATACTGCAATTGGCAAATCAGCGACCACACACTATCAAATGTGTATCCCTCTTTTAGAGAGTTTGTATATAGTTATGTAAAAATAATATACATAATCAATCATAAAAAAAGTTACTATATTTTGTTTAGGTTGTCTACATTGAAACCAAATTTAGATGTTTACTGATAATGGTACAATCATAAGAGTTAACACATTAAAGAAAATGTACTAAAACAGAACCATTTTCCCACCCATGTCACAGACATCCTGTTACCTGGAAGGTGTTTCCAATAGGAGCCCCTGGGGCACCTTCAATGTTGGGCTTTGAGAAGGGTGGCGGCACTGCTGGACCAAGAGGCTGCTGGATGCTGTGGAAGGGCTGGCCCCCGGGAAGGTGAGGCTGTGGGAGTGAAGGCTGGCTTGATGGTGGTGCTGGCGCCGAAGGCTGCTGCTGCAGCATCTGGGACTGGGGGTCACCCAAAAGGTTCATGATGGGTGCTGTGATAGGAATAGGAGGCATGAAGTTTTCCGGCATCTATTAAAAAACAGAAATAGCACCCAAGTAAGAACAAGAACAGCAACATTTCCTCAGCTACAAATAGGGAGTTAACTTATTCCATGGTTAAACAAACTTTTTTTTGAGTCGGGGTCTCACTCTGTCGCCCAGGCTGGAGTGCACTGGTGTGATCATGATGATCACAGCTCACAGCAGCCTCGACCACCTGGGCTCAGGTGACCCTTCCTCCTCAGTCTCCAAAGAACTGGGACTACAGGCATATGCCACCATATCCCACTAATCTTTTTTAAAGTTTCTGTGGAGACAAGGTCTTGTTATGTTGCCCAAGCTGGTCTCAAACTCCTGAGCTCCATCAACCCACCTGCCTCAACCTCCCAAAGTGCTGGGATTGCGGGCATGAGCCACAGTGCCTGGCCTAAACAAATGTTAATAAGTAGCAGAATTATTTTTTTCCAATGAAATTTTATGCAGAATAAAGTAAACTGAGTAAAACATAAAAGCAGAGCTAATCTGGCTAAGAGAGGAGGGGAGCTCGAGCCTAGACCGCTCCATCCCCTCTTTCTACTCAGTTGACCCCAACAGAAGGGGGCTCGAGCCCAGACTTCTCTGTCCCATCTCCCTCCCTTGGCTGACCCCAACAGAGGGGGTTTAAGCCTGGACCTCTCTGCTCCCCCCTCTCTGGCCAACCCCAAAGGGGAGCAAAAACCATGGCATTCTGGAAAGAGGACATCACACATGGAGAATTCTATCCAGAGGTAGCAGTACTGAAATCCAATGACCAAGTGTGCATGTGCAAATGTGTTGAATGTGATCAGGATGTAACACCTCAGTAGACATTACATAGCGATTCTATCACACTAACTTGAGTTACTGATTAATATTAACCTAAATTTGGGGTTTCTTTGCTCAGTTAATGTCTCCCAATTTCATGTTATAGCCTTTCACTACTATATTTGGGGGAAGGGGATCATTAAGCTAAAAAAAGTAGAAAAAGGCTTGGGCAAAAAGAAGAATCTTATTTTGTGCTGTAACAAACAGTTCTCAACAGTTACTGACATCTACATGCCCTGGTACAGGGCTATTTCTTCATTCATATTATATGTGATTTTAAAAAGTCCAAAATATTGGTCAGGCACAGTGGCTGACACCTATTTTGGGAGGCTGAGGCAGGAGTACCGGGACCCCAATTAAAAAATAAAAACAGTAAAAAAATATAATTGCCAAATACATGATTACTGCTGGAACCCAAAGATCAAAGTGATTTCTAAAAAAAAAAAATTAACTCTGAAGCCTGAAATTTTATTTCCTAATTTTTGAAAGGCCTGTTAGGAATTTACATCTTGTCTTCTAAAGAGGCTTTGATTTATATCTCCATCATCATAGCAAGGTTTTGATGATACTGTTTCTACTTTCTTTCCTTCCTTCCATGGATTAGAAAATGCATGTTGAAATACACCTTAAATATATCATTCTGTGAGCTTTGCCTTTAGAAGGATCAGTGAAGTGTGGTGTGTTCCTGTGACTACGTAAGTAATGTAGTATCTGTAGGCCATCTGATTGGATGGACGTCTTTTTCTAGTACCTTCTTCTTCTTGGGTACTCTGTTCAAAGCTGGAGGGTCATTCCAACCATTCTGGGGACCTATAACAGATAACAGAAGACATTTTCCTTTAGAATCCTGAAAGGAAAAGAATGAAATTGAATCTATTACCTTAACACTTTGAAATTTTGCCCTAACCCAGAAACAACTGTCACCAAAGTGTTACCAGCCAAGTTGTGGTAATCACTGTGTAGCTCTGGATTCACACGTCGATACCTTTAATGGTCACAAGTCTTGGCTTAGTGGAAAGAGACCTCGACATGACTTCCACTTAGAAGAGTGAGAGCTGTGCTAAATATTAAAGGGTGATGAAGTCTGTCTATGGTGGTGTATAAGCTCCAAGATCAGTTCACTATCCTCTCCTAAGAGAACACATAACTCACTGAAGCTGCTAAAAAAAGGCATTTGATCTATTCAGCAAATACAAGAGAATCAAAATAGTTACCTCCTATTTGCCAAGAGAGCAAATCAACATATGCAAATCACTGCAAATGTTAAACATGGTAGAAACACTGTTTTAAAAACAGCCCAACTACATAACACCAGAAATTTTTATCATCTTTGCCTTGGGAATTACTTATAAAATAAAAAAGGGCAGGCCAGACATGACAGCTCATGCCTGGAATCTCAGCACATTGGGAGGATGAGGTGAGAGGATTGCCTAAGGCCAGGAGTTTGAGACCAGCTTGGGCAACATAGTGAAACCTAGTCTCTACAAAAAAAATTTTTTTAATTAGCAGGGCATGGTCGTGTGCGCCTGTAGTTATTCAGAAGGCTGAGGCAGAAGGATTGCCGGAGTCCAGCAGGTCGAGGCTGCAGTGGCAGTGATCGTGCCATTGCACTCCAGCCTAGGCGACAATGAGACTCCAACTCAAAATAAACAAACAAAAAAACACACAAAAACCACAACGCTGTTATTTCAAAGTTTAAAATGGACATCAGCTGGGCATGGTGGCTCAGCCTGTAAACCCAGCCCTTTGGGAGGCCGAGGTGAGAGGATTGCCTGAGCCCGGGGGTTCAAGACCAGCCTGGGCAACTCAGTAGACCTCGTCTCCACAATAACTCACAAAAACTAGCTGGGCATGGTGGCATGTGTCTGTAGTTCCAGCTACTTGGAAGGCTGAGGCGGAAGGATCACCTAAGCCCAGCAGGTTGAGGCTGCAGTGGCTGTGAGCGTGCTGAACTCCAGCCTGGGCAACAAGAGTAAGACTCCAACTTAAGAAAAAAAAATAAGACATCAGTGTCAGAACTAATTAAGTACTTTAAGGCCAATAGAGTTAATGAAAAAAGGAATAAAACATACTGGAAGTACGATGGGATACTTACTAAGAGAATGTCAAATATGGCTTCAAATATACAAGTTAATCACCAAGTATTAAACCATATGCTGCTGATAAACTCTTAAACTTCTGGTCCTATAGAGATTAATCAGTCCAATCTATACCATCACTTCCAGTCTTACCCATATCTAAGACAATCTTGGCACAGTTGTTTTATGTCTATATAAAATGGACAGCATTGTGACTTGAATTTATTTTGTCATCATGCAAATTCAATCAGTTCTAAAATCCGATTCAATTAAGAAGCCAAATTAAAAAAATAACACTTAACAGATTTAGGATATCATCATCTTTAAAGTTCACATGCATTATTGTTAATGCCCACTGATTAACTGTATTCATTGATTCAAAGGTTCCCAAAGGTATAGTTTACAACTAATTCACCTTCCAACATAGGTGCCTGGTCTTGGATACTCTGATTTTCTGTAGACAAAATGCAGAAGTTACTTGCATAGCGTTATTGAAGACATTTTAAACTCTGCTTTTCATAATTGTTTCTTCTTCTCCCTCCATCAAACCCCACCAAGAGCAAACTAATTTTATAAGGGAAAAAACTTACTTTTTAACCAAGTCATGTGAAATATTTTCTATCTAATTGAAAAGGTAACCAGTTTCTGGATAAAGTGAATTCATTTAAGTTGTATCAGATCCAATTAACCCTTAAACATCACTTTTTTCTCTTACTATGCTAGCTATCTCTTTAAAGAGGAAATTTCATGTCTTCCTATTAAGATAATGGTATTTCCCTAATTGTTTGCATGGAATATTTTCTAGTATTTGTCCAACAAAGCTCAGAAATATAGCCTAGGGGACAGCACTTCCTAACATGTTATACCTAAATGTCTATCTTGGTGTTATTCAAAGTTGAACCCAAACCAATCATGGATTTTGTGAAAATGCAGACTTTAACTCATGAGGTTCAGCAACAAAGCCTGAGCTCTGTCCTTCCAGCTGCCCCCAAGACGACACAAATACTGCTGCTCTGACACTCCTTAGTAAGGATTTAGGGAAATGGGAGTTTCTGCACTAGCCTGCATCTGATAAGGATAAACATGATGCCTGACAATCTTAGCATGGTGGTGCTACTTTTCACTGCTGGATTTGGGAGGACCCAATGGCCTGCGTTTTGGAAAGACTGTCATTTCTGGGGCCACACCATAATGTAGATATGAATGGGAACAGGCCCAGCAAACATGCAGCCATCTCATATAGCCCTTTCTGTGAAAATACATGCATCTGCAGATTATTTAGCACAAGTGTCCCAGAAATCACTACTCTTCTTAGGAGCACTGAAGTGTCTAGTGGCAGTGAAGAGCAAAACAGGCAGCAACTAACCTAGCAATTCCAACAGTCAGATAGTCAGGCCAGGCCCAGTCTCCAGTCAGTCACACAGCAGAGGCACGTCACATGTACATACAGCTTATGTGAACTCAAGTCTCTTCATGTGGCAAGGGAGGACCAAGAAAATATAGCAACTAAAACTGTGCATTGTTCTGCAATTACACAGGCAGTGAAAAAAGAAACAAAAACACAGGGAGCTCAATTTGGTCTGGGTGCTGCTCAAGGAGCATGTGACCCAGAGGCACTAGGGGGAGGGAGAGGTCACCCCACAGCTTGAAGTCCTCCCGTGTGGAGTGAGGTTCTAGTGTTTACTGGTAGATTCTTTTCATACAATATGGAAACACCAGCTAACTTCTCATCTGGGCTTTCCTTGAAGAAAAGAGTGATTAGAACGAACTGATTGCAAGGTTTTTCTATTTCTACCCTAAATGATGACTTTATAATTTGTTCTCCAGGTGAGACATGACTTCCTAACACTACAGTTAATCAGTGCCTGTGAGTTGCTGCATGCCCATCACAAGAGGACTGCCCTGACTCCTGGCTGCTGGCGCTAGCACAGTTGCAGCCTCTGGGCTGAGGAAACCAAGACATCACAAGCCTGGGAAGACTTTGGACGTGACCCTTTGCTCAGGTTGCAACAGCACGTCCTCTTCCCCTGCCCCCTGACAGAAAGTGCAGAAGATGAAGATTGCTTCAAGCCTGTGAATTAAAGCCTGGGCATGTATCCAGACTTCATAAACTATTAGTACAAAGAATCCATGTATCAATTTCCATATAACTCCTTGGTAAAACGATACCAAAGTCACAATAAAGTCAAGCTCAAAGTTAGGAGTAGAAGCAAATCAGCTCAGGACTAGGAAGCTTCTTCCCAGATCCCAGCAGGGGACTGTCCAGTCTGGAGTCTGTGAGGCAGGAGGGGGAGACTGATGGATTGAGTCTTTCCACCCAAATATGTGCCTGACTGGCTCCCCTTACCTCACACCATGCAATCTATTTAGCCATGTTTTAGTTCAGCCTGATTTTGTTGATTTAATGTAGTTTTGTTTCAACTCAATTCTAACTCTTTTCAATCTTCCTGCTTTTACAGAATTTAGATGATTGCTTAAATATGACTTTTTGTGGCTGATGCCTGTAATCCTAACACTTTGGGAGGCAGAGGTAAGAAGACTGCCTGAGTCTAGTGATTCGAGATCAGCCTGGGCAACTTGGCAAGACATCATCTCTACAATAAATTAAAAAAAAAAAACTAGCCAGGCATGGTGTCGTGTGCCTGTAGTTCCAGCTACAAGGAGGCTGAGGCAGAAGGATTGCCCGAGTCCAGCTGATTTAGGCTTTGGTAGCCATGATCTTGCCACTGACTCCAGCCTGGACAACAGAGTGAGACAGCAACTCAAAAAACAATAACAATAGTAATACTTTCTACAGTGAAAAGTTAATAAAGATCAAGGGAAATTAGTTTTAAAAATAAATGTGGCATGTCACTGGCTGCTACAGTCCTCTTCACCTTAGTGAGGTCAGTACTCCCCAGAATCCTTGTGACAGGGAAGGGCCTTGGTCTCCTAAGCAGGGACGGAGCTGCCCCCATCATTGCCCAAGTCCCCCTCTCCCTGGGAACTCTCTGAGGTGTCCTGCGGGCACATATGGTTGACTCTACACCCTGGTCAGGGTGCTTCTCAGTGGACTCAGAGAGAAACCCTAGTGCTGACAGCCCAGGGACTCTGGCCAGAAGGTAGCCTGAGCTGCAGCGGACAGCACAGTCTTGTCAGCCATACACCTTCCCCTGATCTGAGCCTGACATGTCACGTTTTAAAATAATGTCACAGCCGGGCTCGGTGGCTCAGCCTGTAATCCCGCGCCTTTGGGAGGCTGAGGTGAGTGGATTGCATGAGCCCGCGGGTTCGAGACCCGCCAGGGCAGCGAGACCTCATCTCTACAATAAACCAAAAAATCAGCCGGGCATGGTAGCGTATGCCTGTAATTCTGGCTACTCGGAAGGCTGAGGCGGAAGGATCGCCGGAGCCCAGCAGGTGAGGCTGCGGTGGCTGGAAGCGGCCACTGCACTCCAGTCTGGGCGACAGAGTGAGACTCCAACTCAAAAAAATAAATAAATAAAAATAATGTCACAAAATTAAAGATTAAAGTTTGGAAACACATGAATCCTTGAAGTTATTTTCCAATGACTCAAGATAAAAAAAAAGTTATCCAAAAAAGGGAAGGCTGCCATACTCCTTCCTTTATTTGAACGATTAAAACCAGAAACTATCATTAAACTAAGGAATGTTTATGAAAATTAAACAAAATTTTCAAGTTTAGGCAATATAGCAAGACAATGTCTCTAGAAAAATTAAAAAAAAAATTATCCAGGTGTGGTGGTATGTGCCTGTCTGTAGTCCCTACTACTCAGGAGGCTGAAGCGGGAGGATCACCTGAGCCCAGGAGGTTGAAGCTTTGGTGAGCTATAATCATGCCATTGCATACCAGCCTGGGTGACAGAGTGAGAATCAGACACAAAAAATTTTTTTCACAACACTGCTTCATGAAAACGTACAGTAATATTCCCCTTCAAGTCCCTTTCCCTTGAAGAAGTACAAGATTACATATGTAAATTAAATTTTTGTTGTTTTAACAAAGCCATGATAGCTTTAGGGTCTAAAATTCTATAGCCTTCACATTTAAAAGGGCACTTTCTCTTAGAAACAAGCACACACTGAACCAGGGACCCCCATAAAGTAAAAAATGTGACAGGCAGCATCCTACTCATCCTAGACAATGAGACAGGACAATGCTCTGCTGACTATGCTACTCCCCTGGAAACGCACTGCACGGCTTGACTCAGGCTCTACCCTTCCTGCCAGCACCAGCAGAGGTAGCTTTCCGGACTCCATGAGCACCAGCAGCCCACCCCGTAAGGCCACCCAGAGCCATTGCCCTCACGCCCTCTTCCATTGCACACTCAGCAGCTCACAGCTCTTCAAGAGAAACTTTTTTTCTCATTGTATGAAGTACAGACTTCTAGTCTGGACATTTAAGACTGTCTAAACCTTGGCCCAAATGCAAATTTTATGTTCTAACCTGGAGCTATCTGCTGTTCACTAGAAATGTACTGTCTTTTCCAGCTCCCTCCCTGTCTGGGATACTTCTGACTGTGGACTAAACATGTACTCATTAAAAATTTACAAAGTAAGCTGGGCGCAGTGGCTCATGCCTGTAATCCCAGCACTTTGGAAGGTGGAGATGAGAGGACTGCCTGAACCCAGGGGTTCGAGACCAATCTGAGCAATGTGGTGAGACCTCGTCTCTATAATAAATAAAAAAAAAATTAGCCAGGCATGGTGGCGCACACCTGTGGTTCCAACTACCTGAAAGGCTGAGGTGGAAGGATCACCTGAGCCCAGCAGGTGGAGGCTGCAGTGGCCATGAGCATGCCATTGCACTCCAGCCTGGGTGACAGAGTGAGACTCCAACTCAAAAAAAAAGAATTTACAAAGTGAACTATTCACTGATGTAACATGAGTTCCTCTGAGTCCTGGACACATAATTTCGTGGTTCAGCAGTAGAGGTTTAAAAGTCTGTAGATCTGTCAGAAAGGATCCATCGGACAACTAGAATTTCTAAATCCTGAACAAAATCATGATCTAAGACACATTAGCACAAAGACAACATTTTCCATCACAATTATTTTTATAACCTAAGCAAAATTTTCAGGAAACCCAAAAACAAAATATGGTAAAGTTGTAATTGTGGATTAAAATACAGGGTCTGTTAGGGAACAGAGTTAGCAAGAGTCAGGTGTCATGCATGAGGACACTGGATTCGCTTGGCTTGGGTCTTAGTCTGATTAGTCACTCCGTTTCTCCCCAGGTTAGAACATTCTGTTACTTTGTATACAAAGACATCTGCTCATGCCAAGTGCAATTTTGCTTAAGGAGAAAAAAATACCCATGCAAATATTTAATGGAGATTACAAAGTAACAAGTGCCTAGAAGAGATATTCCTAGATGGCTTCTGTAATCCCAACACTGACAGCTTTCTGTCACTTCCTTCAGGACTAGACTACCTGGAATAGATATGAATGAAAAGGG